GCGGCCGGCCAAATTGGTCACGCACACTGTCGATAGGATAGTTTTCAAATATGGATATGTGATTGATCCAATTACGAAGAAACGAGTGATCAAAGAGAAATTCGAAGATGATATTAATTTGCAAACAAATTTGGTAAAAGAAATCATCGAAGAGCCATCATCACATGTTAGAATTTTTTCATCTCCTTTTCTACATATAATTGATAACGAAACGGCTACTTGTTTGCCACTGAATCATATTTGGAACACTGTCTAATGCTATAGTCGACATCCACGCCATTGACTTTTTGCTGTATTTCACTTTGATTTAACCAATGCTACATTACCTGATAGTCAGCCTTCTGTTGATCCTGACATTCGGTTCATTTCCTGTAAGGTGATTCTTCCGATAAAAATGATTTTTCCGACCACAGCCGGGTCCAGCGGCAAGGGAAGGGGGCAAAGGGTCCCTCACTCCACAGCGACAAAAGGCACCAGTATTGCAAAAACCCTGGTCTAAAGCTGAAACTAAATTCTGAAGTAACTCTAAGCAGCAATGTTACAACTCTATTCCTAGTTTTTGCATAGTTCCAAGTAGGAGGGGACTCTGTCCTGTTCCTCCCTCCCCCCCCCCCCCCTTTCACTTATCAGAAGAACGTCACTCTCCCCCACCCCTCTAGCCCACCGCAGGAGTCTGTCCTGGATTCATCTGTGTTCCCGACAGAATCATTTTAGCAACGCTTTCGCCCCTTCGAGATTCAGCGGTGTTTGTTGTTTGCCACATTTTGTCTCGAAGCAATACCATTCCTAGATCACCCCATATTGCCACATAGTTATAAAAATCAAATAAATAACGGCGCGCACCATGGTGGCTTTATAGAAAAAATATAGCAGAAGCCAAAGGGAGAATTGTCTGAAGAGGAATCTTTTAGTTGAATTATACAAAAATATGCTCGATTTTTATCAAAAATGTCTTAGAAACGATAAAAAACTATAGAAAATATATTTCAGGAGGTACTGTTATTTGAGGAGAAGCGTGATATACAGCGGCGGCGATTGAACATTCGAAAAATGGCCGTAAATCGACGAAGTGCAACAAGGACGATCACGGGAGATGCTAAAAACAAGGGCGAAGATACAGTTGAGGACTAGCAGGTGCTATCTCCAATTCCTCTATTCTTCGATCTTCTTCAATTCGAGTGGAACGCTGGCCTAAATTTCAGTCTCTAATGCAGGGTTTTTTTTGGTGCTAAGCAAGTCAGTGGTTCAGAGTAAAGATGAATTTTCCTCCGGGAAGATATAAGATTCGCTGAAATAAACTGGGCTGGGGAATGCAGAGAAGCAATACAGCGGTGATTGAAAAATATCATATTTGAGCAAAAAGGAAGCTGTATGAGAGGTGATT